TCTAATGGGCTATAATAAAAGTTGACTGCTCCTGACTTTATAGTTGAAAGGTTGATCGCAAAGAATCGTTCCAATAATGAATGTATGGGTTTGGAAATCCTCAAATATACTGGAAGTATAATTCGAATCGAGTATCAAAGTATTCGCCGTGAAAAGTTCTTCCATCCTATGTATGATTGTGATGAGTTCTGTTTGAAAAGTGCTATGGGCCAAATCATGTTCTTATGCGCCCCTGTCCTTTTATTGTCGAAGTTGTAACTTCGATGACGATCATCGTCGAAGTTATAACTTCATCACATTTATACGACGAAGTTGTAACTTCGTCAATATGAGTCGACGGAGTTATAACTTCGACAACATTCTTGACGAAGTTATAACTTCGTCGACCGGTGTAACTTCGATACGACATATATATAGGTAACAAGTGCAAGATAATAAATGCTAGAAAACTTTCATCTTTCTATTAGGTCTTGTTATTGGTTGTTTACCCATCTTTGGTTTACGTTTATCGACACTTGAATGTCTTTATAGTCCAATGTGCTTACAAAAACTATCTAACTTAACTAAAAATATATACAATAATTTATGGCTTCTCAATATTTCGATACCTAGTCGATTTACTCCAGTATCATCAACACTTATTCGAACATTAATTGATGAATCATTTATTGAATCATGGCACATTAAAAGTAATTATTCCAATTACTTTGAAATATGTGCACCATCAACATGTCAATATACTTATGAGAAAAGACATGATGCTCTGTATATTTTAACAACATTTCTAGGTTTATATGGGGGATTAACAGTTGGTTTAAAACTTATTGTGTGGTATGTTCTATGCATTACTGCGAAAGTGCAAGAATATTTGATTGATCGTCGAAGACGTGTTGAACCTATAAATGAATGGTGATTCTATTCGAAAATATAACTATTGACATTTATGTATACATATATGTTAGGGATGTGAATAGTTCATGTAAAACTATCCACACTCACACCTTAGAAGTACACTGTTTATGTCCCATTCTATCGCTTTAGATGTTGTATAAACATTTGATTCCTTTACTATTGAATACAATATAAAAGAACGAAAAACGAAAAAGCGGGTTTTCTCTGTCGACAACGGATATGAAAATTGTATATCATGCAAGAAAAAGCATTAGCTTCTGAATAAAACTGCATTATTCTTTTCTATTTAATATAAAAATTTTCTTGAATCTTTACCATTATGGAGTTTTTCCTAATAAATTTGGCCAAAATTATTCCTGACTTTCTTTTTATTTTGGTGTGTTTCTGATATATAGTGTGAATGTTAATATAGATGCGTATGTGGGCGAAAACATGGATGGTGTGGGTGTGGGTGTGGGTGGAGGCAAGGGTATCGGTGTGGGTGTAATTGTTAGTGTCATTGAGGCGAAGATCTACACCCACACCCTTGTTTATATGAAAAGCATTTTCGCTGCTCATTAACAATCTTAAAGAGACAATAACGTATAACATTTTCAAGTTATAATAAATAATAAAAAATACGATTATATAATAATAATTAACATGTTATAAATATTATTCGATATAATTTCAATGATGAAAATGTTGTAATATCATCTAATATGGGTGTGGGGTGTGTTTTCCGAAGAAATAATTCGAAGCTACCTACGACCGGTTTCGCCCTTGTTTAAGGAACTCATCAGGTAAATTTCGAATTATTAAAATAACTGCATGAAAATCAAAATAATCAGATCTCAAATGTGAAGATAGATATAAAAGTTAATGAGTAACTAAGACTCAAAAACCTCTAACAAAAATCTAAAGTCGAGATTTAAAATTATTTTGAAAGAATTGCAGAAATAATTATGGGTGTGTTTTCCGAAAAAATAATTCGAAGCTATTTACGACCGGTTTCGTCCTTGCTTAAGGGTCTCATCAAGTAAATTTCGAATTATCGGGAAGGGTGGATGGAAAATGAAGGATGTTTATATCTCTTATTCTACTGAACATATGGAAGTAAAAGATTTTGAAGAATCTCATACTCCCTAAAGGGTAATTTTATGGTTTGGTTTCGTATATGTAAAGTTTGAAGTAGTTCTTAGAAGCAAAGCAGTCATGGAATCGTTTTCGGCTGTTGTTTTGATAGTACTCATCATTTATGTTAAGATTCTGTATATTATTATTACTTCGAAAAAGGGTTTGATAGTTTTCGAATTGATTCGAAGTAAGTGCTTTTTGGTTGTATTTTCCATTTTGGAAATTTGCTGAGATAAGTAAAATGTGGAAGTATATCGTAGTGAGTGGGTAAAGTTGTTTTAGTGTTACATGTAGTTTATTGAACGAGGAGCAAAGATATATACTGCATGTGTCATGCTTCAGTTGTGATGAATATCAAATGACTGAATGTTCTTTTTGTTTTTGATTTGGATAGTGTTAGTCCTGTGGGCATGACTATTTTGTTGTGTTTAGTGGTCATTGTTCGACATTTTTCCAGTATGATTACTGTATTTGGTGATTTTTTTTGTTCTGGATTTGGTTTGCATTTAGCTATGAAATTGTATGATAGGTGACGAATTGTTGAGTTATTTTTGTGTCGGTCACTTCGTTTTATTCATGCAGCCATAAATGGGAAATTATTAGCTTGCTGTGCACATTGAATTTGATAGTGTTTATTAGTTTAAGGTTGTTGATTGCGTTTGGTTTTTGATCGGGAATATTTGTGCTCTTGTGGTGATTTAACCTTGTCATATATTCTTAATTTAAGTTGATACAGCTCCTTTGTGATATTGTGAGCTTTATCTAGAATAGGTTAATAGAGAAGTAAGGAGTTTTTTGACGAATATAGTTTTTTGTTTATCTTTTGTGTAATGTTGGGTGTGGGTGTGGGTGTGAGTGTGGGTGTGGGTGTGGGTGTGGGTGTGGGTGTAGGGTGTGCGTGTAAGTGTGAGTATGACTGTGAAGGTGAGTCTTGTTCCTCTCTGAAGTAAACCCACACCCACGTCCACATCCACACCCACACCCACACCCACGGCCACACCCACACCCACACCCACACCCACACCCACACCCACCCCCACACACCCCCCCCCACAACCCCACCCCCACCCCCGCACCCCCCCCCCACCCCCCCCCCCACCACCAACCCC